AAAACCACCATCATCCTACAACATCGCACCATGTGACAAACATTCAAATTCGGTCACAAAAACAACTCATGTCACAACACATTTTTTGGTTGAACCCAACCTCCGTGGAGGGTTCCAAGACTTTCATCAACGAGTTGCGCAGCTCTGCTACAGGCAGCCAAGCGTTGCCCGATCGTGTCTCCACACCAGCCGCAGTAGCCAGGACTCGAAGCTCGTCTCTTCCTATTCCGTACAAAGCACGACTGAGCCACTCCTTGCCCTGTGAAACAGCGCCAAGGCGAAGTTCTTCCAATTTGGCAGCCGATGCCTCTTCCACCTGCGGCATCCGACACACTGCCACCACAAAACCACCATCATCCTACAATTTTTTCCCGCTGCTCATGCATATCAATGAAATAATAACACATAGATCCACTACATCACAAACGAACGTTGGCATGTGCAATTCTCAAGATCTCACGGACAGCCCCTACAGAGACCTCAAGAGATACAACAAATGTTGAAGATATTTGTTTGTCGATCCTTGGCATGTCACAAACATGATGCCATGTCTGACAAACATGCAAATTCGGTCACAAAAACAACTCATGTCACAACACATTTTTTGGTTGAACCCAACCTCCGTGGAGGGTTCCAAGACTTTCATCAACGAGTTGCGCAGCTCTGCTACAGGCAGCCAAGCCTTGCCGGATCGTGTCTCCACACCACCCGCAGTAGCCAGGACTCGAAGCTCCTCTTTTCGCATTTCGTACAAAGCACGACTGAGCCACTCCTTGCCCTGTGAAACAGCTCCAAGGCGAAGTTCTTCCAATTTGGCAGCCGATGCCTCGTCCACCTACAGCATTCGACACACTGCCACCACAAAACCACCATCATCCTACAACATCGCACCATGTGACAAACATTCAATGAATGACACGTGTTATTTCATTTTTGTATGGATAATCCCACATAAACAGTCCACAAAACATCGGTACCATGATGCCGTTTTTTTTTGCACCCAACCTCCGTGGAGGGTTCCAAGACTTTCATCAACGAGCTGCGCAGCTCTGCTACAGGCAGCCAATTCCGGTTGGAATGTGTCTGCGCACCACCCGCAGTAGCCAGGGCTCGAAGCTCCTCTTTTCGCATTTCGTACAAAGCACGACTGAGCCACTCCTTGCCCTGTGAAACAGCTCCAAGGCGAAGTTCTTCCAATTTGGCAGCCGATGCCTCGTCCACCTACAGCATCCGACACACTGCCACCACAAAACAGCAATCATCCTACAACGTTGCACCATGTGACAAACATGCAACTTTCGTCACAATCCTATTCTGCCACACCGGACCTGCGTTGGAGGTGCCAAGACATCCAGCAATCGAGCGCGCAGCTCTCCAACCGCAAGCCACTTGTTGTCCGGTCCACGGCCAACATTCCGAGCATGTGCCATTTTGCGAAGCTCCATTACAGAAATTTTTGCCAGGGCATCCTGGAGCCATTCACGACCCCTGGTCACAGCACTGCTACGCAGCTCCTGCAACCGAAGTTCCACGGCATCGGACGACGCGGATGACGCGGTCGCATGCTCCATTCGCACAGACATTCCCTTCAGCAAATGAAACAGCGACCACAGAACGTCCACAAACGTCACCGGCGCGTGACTTCAAACAAACATTTTGCATTGAAAAATTCCGAGACATGCATATTTGTTCTCTTGCTTTCAAAACAATGCCATGACATGTTTGATTTCAACACAAAATTGAACGGTACAAAATTGAACGGTATAATGATTCCCGTATCATTTTTTGTCCACTGCTCATGCATTTCAATGTTTTTTTTGCTGTACATCACATAGATCCACTGCATCGTAAACAAACACTGACATTGTCACAATGCAATTCTCGAGATCTCACAGACAGCCCCTACAGAAACCTCGAGAAGTGCAAGAAAAGTTACAGATACCTGTTAGCCAATCGTCACTTGTTTCTCGAACATTCAGCGTACATCACCGTGCTCAATGCATCTTGTCTCAATGGATGTTCACTCCGTGCTCAATGCATCTTGTCTCTACGTACACCTCTGAGCCCAGGAAAGAGATAAAGAGGTAAACTATGCTTGTCGCTGCAAAGTTGCACAATCCACTGCAAAGCAGTTGTTCTCTGACTTCCAAACTGAGAACACCACTCATGAGTTTGACATGGCAAAGAACCACTGTCGCAGAGACCTGCAAACTGAAGGCTGAACGCGTCAACGGTGAAGCTTACAATGAACATATCAAATCAACACACTTCAAAAAAAATTGTGTACCGTGAATCGCCGACTACAACCACATGTTATTCATTTGAATATGCAGTGAGAAAGATGCAGTGAGCTACGCACTCGCACAATCCAATGCCAAGAAATCGTTCTCCGACTTCGACGCTCAGGGCACAATTGCTAAGTTTGACACTGGGCATGGGCACCATTGTCGCAGAGACCTGCAAACTGAACAGTGAAGCTTGCAATGAACACATCAAATCAACACACTTCAAAAAAAAAAGCAAATGGGTCCCGTGAATCGCCGACTAAAACCACATGATATTCATTTGAATAGATGTATCGGAACTCATCCTCCGACATGTCTCCAAGATGAGATCGCTTGCACCCCACAACTTCCAACACCCATGCCACTTCCTCATCCTCCGGCGGTCTCCACGCGGCCATTGCCGAGCGGCCCAGACAAAATTGAACGGTGCAGTGATTCCCGAATTATTTTTTTTGTCCACTGCTCATAATTTGAATGAAAACAACACATATATGTTTTTCGTGCTATACATCACATAGATCCACTGCATCGTAAACAAACACTGCAATTCTCGAGATCTCATGGACTGACCCTACAGAAACCTCGAGCAGTGCAAGAAATGTTACAGATACCCGTTTGCCAATCCTCACTTGTTTCACGAACATTCAGCGTACATATAAGAATATGGATGTTCACTCTGTGCACAATGCATCTCGGCCCAGGAAAGAGGTACTTGGTAACCTCTACAACTCCTTTACACAGAAACACTTTTACACACAGACGCTTTTACACACAGACGCAACGCTTTTACACACAGGCGCTTTTACACACAGACGCTTTTACACACAAAAGCTTTTACACAGAGACGGTTTTACACACAGACGCTTCTACACGCAGATACGTTTTACACACGCACACACGCTTTCACACACAAACGCTTTTACACACAGACGCGTTGACACACAAACGCTTTTACACAGGACGCTTTTACACGCAGATGCTTTTTACACACGCACACACGCTTTCAAACACAAACGCTTTTACACACAGACGCTTTTACACACAGAAACTTGTACAGAAACGAAAGCGTCCATCGCAATTTTTCCTCAGTTTTTGACGTCCAACGTCCATTTCGTCCGAAAGGGTTACGATTGACCAAGTAAAATCGCAATTTTTCCTCAGTTTTTGCATCCAACGTCCATTTCGTGCGAAAGGGTTGCGATTGACCAAGTAAAATCGCAATTTTTCTTCAGTTTTTGACGTCCAACCTCCATTTTGTGTAAGGGTTGCGATTGACACCTCAAAGTCGCAATTTTTCCTCAGTTTTTGACGTCCAACGTCCATTTCGTGCGTAAGGGTTGCGCGGGACACCTCAAAGTCGTAATTTTTCCTCAGTTTTTGACGTCCAACGTCCATTTCGTGCGAAAGGGTTGCGATGGACAAAGTAAAGTCGCAATTTTTCCTCAGTTTTTGACGTCCAACGTCCATTTCGTGCGAAAGGGTTGCGATGGACAAAGTAAAGTCGCAATTTTTCCTCAGTTTTTGGCGTCCAACGTCCATTTCGTGCGAAAGGGTTGCAATGGACAAAGTAAAATCGCAATTTTACCTCAGTTTTTGGCGTCCAACGTCCATTTCGTGCGAAAGGGTTGCGTTTCGTGGCGCTCCGGCGGCACCGCCACCGCCTTAAGAGAGAATAGAAGAAGAGCGAGAGGAGATCTGCAGATGTGAAGGTGTGAAGATGTAGATCGGCAGATGTGAGAGTGTGAAGATCTAGATCTGCAGGTGTGAGGGTGTGAAGATCTAGATCTGCAGGTGTGAGGGTGTGAAGATCTAGATCTGCAGGTGTGCGGGTGTGATGATGTAGAAAACATCCATGCAGAGTGAAGGGATAAGGAGTGAAGAATCTAGTCAGCAGATTTTGTGAAGGAGTGAAGATTCTAGATTCAGCAAGATTTGAAGGAGTTTTGGAAATTTGCAGATCAGCAGATGTGAAGGAGTGAAGATCTAGATCCGCAGATGTGAAGGAGTGAAGATCTAGATCAGCAGATGTGAAGGAGTGAAGATCTAGATCTGCAGGTGTGAGGGTATGAAGATCTAGATCAGCAGATGTGAAGGAGTGAAGATCTAGATCCGCAGATGTGAAGGAGTGAAGATCTAGATCAGCAGATGTGAAGGAGTGAAGATCCAGATCAGCAGATGTGAAGGAGTGAAGATCCAGATCAGCAGATGTGAAGGAGTGAAGATCTAGATCAGCAGATGTGAAGGAGTGAAGATCTAGTATAACGGCTGCTTTTTTACGAAGAACCCTTCGCAGGCGCTCTCGGGAAAAACGCTTGCAAGAAGCAGTCCGTGCCAGGCACTCGTGGAAATGCCGCACCACCGGCACGCCCCGGCCCTTTGCCGGCATCAACATTCTGCTGGCCGGCGACTGCTGGCAATTCCCTGCCGTGAAAGCCACGTCCATCTTCCATAACCCCTTCAAGCACGGACAAAGCGTTCAAGTAGCAAACCTCCAGAAAGTGTTGTGGACGCATGACCGACAGAACATCCAACACCTGTTCGAACTCACCCAAGAACATCGTTGTGTCGATCCTTGGTTAAGTGCAATTCTGCATGCCGCCCGACATGGAGTTGTGACTCAAGAGCAGTGGGCGTTTCTTCACGGCTTCCCGACCCTGCATGCTGGCTCGTGGGACCCCCACACTAACAAGTGCTCTTGCAAAAAGCCGGCCTGCGATGCTTGGCCAAGCAGTGGACCAAGGAAGTGTTGGATCCGAAAAATACACGAACGTGGCAGGATCGGCGCCAAGCCGAATGCGATGCCTGCGCGGCCGAACGCCGGCGGCGCTGCATCGTTGCCGGAGCATCCGACTTTGGGCCCAATCCAAAAGACAGCAAATTTTTGCAGGCACCGTTTGTGCATGGACTGAATGCTGCCAAGTACGTCGCCGCACTGCTGCGGGCCCGGTGGGTGGCGGCCGAGCAACGGCATCTCTTGCTCTGGGTCGTGGCGCAGGACACGCCGCTCTTCCACACCGACCCTGACACGGAGGCCCAAGAGCTGCAGCACCGAAAAGAACAATGGCTTCAGCGACACGACCAGGCGACAGCAGGGATAATGGGCCTCTTGCCACTTTTGCCGGGCATGCCCGTGCGCATCACCCAGACCTTGCCCGAACTGAAGCCCTGGGGGTTGTTCAAGAACACCCGCGGGCAGTTATTTGGGTGGAGCCTGGCGGAGGAAGACATTGCGGCCATCCCGGCCTGCCAGCAGCCGGAGCTTGTGCTCCAAAAAATGCCGGCGTGCCTCTTTGTCTCGATCCCCGGCGCGACCTGGCAACACCGCCCAGGTCTGCCACCGGGGGTCGCTTGCATTCGCCCGGTCGTGCAACATTGGAAGCTCGAAGCCCACGGCACCGCCACGGTCGCCAGACGAGGTTTTCCGCTGGCTTGCGATTATGCTGGCACGGCGCATTCGTTTATGGGGGCCACATTAGCTGCCTGCAGTTTGGACTTAGGATTTTGGGACACCGCCGCAAACCGGGACTCACAGCTCAGTGCCTACATGTGCCTGTCCCGAGTAAAAAAAGCAGAAGACCTCTGCATAGCCCGTCCCTTTTCCCCTATCTTCTAAGCCAAGGTGAACTAATAGGCCCCGATACGTTCCTCGCAGTGCATCGGCAGACCCTGACCCTGGCGGACGCCAAAAGCAAGTTTGAGCAGGAGCAGGTGCAACGGAAGCGCCATCCGGAGACTCTTTTCTTTTGTCGCGGATGCGCCCCGAAAGCCAAAGGCGAGCACGGCCTCCTGCCGTTGCGTGACTTCACCAGTAACAATTTGTGGCAGCCGGATGCTTGGTTGGAGATCGTGTGTCTCGGCATGGAACGCTTGTGCAGCCAGTGCCGCCACCCACAGCCGTCCGGAAACCCCACCAGCGCCGAAGCCGACGCCGCCAGCAAGTGTGCGTTTTGCAACAAGACCCCACTTCCGAAATTCGGTTTTTGCAAGAAATGCCTGTCGGAAGCAAGATTGGCTTGTGCCCGCTGTGACGTGGGTCGAAAACTCAAACCCAAGACCTTGGCGGACTTCAGCCCCGCGGAAATTCAACGCCGCACAAAACACAGAGACCTACGAAGAGCATGCTGCATGAAGTGCGAGCGGTATCAACCGAACAAATCCAAAGCAAAAGCCGGGCAGTGCCGCACGTGTCGGAACGTCGTCAGCGTGTCCCACTTGCACCAGTATGACTCCAAAGCCAATGACGGCGTTTGTCGCAAATGTTGGCGGAAGGCCACCGACTTGGAGGCAGCAACCGCCAAAGTCTGCCCACGGTGCAGCACACCTTTGAAACGAGCGGCGACACCAGGGTCGTGGTGTCAGAGCTGTGCCTATCCACCATGTGCAGGTTGCCAAAAAGTAGCGCGGCCAACTGGAGGCTCGTACCACGCCAAACACAAACCTGTCTGGCTGTGCCCCGCCTGTACAGGGTGTCCACAGTGCCACAAACCTTTGCAAGCACGTTCGAAACCAGGCACGTGGTGTCAGAGTTGTGCCTATCCACCGTGCGCAGGTTGCCAAAAAGTGGCGCGGCCAAGCAAAGATACGTACCATGCCAAGCAGCGCCCCTTTTGGCGGTGCGACAAGTGCGCCCAAGCAAGTTGTCCGATGTGCCAGGCCAATCCCCTGGGTCAAGACGCCGGCGGCGGACCAGACGCCGCGTGCCCACAGTGTGCAGAACGTGGTCCCCAGTGCGCAAAATGCAAACAGCCAATGCTCGGCCGCCCGCATTCACACGGCTGGTGCCATGGGTGCGCCTTTCCGCCATGTGCAGCCGGCTGTGGTCGACCGCGCCCGAGCAGAAGCAGGGGAATCCAAGACACAGTTCACGAATATCATGCCAAACTCCTGCCGGAGTGGACGTGCCAGACGTGCCAGGTATCAGAAAAAGGACCGGCCAAATGCCGTAAGATCCAAGTGGACGACCAAGCAGACGCCTTGCCACCGCTGCCGCCGCCGGCGGAGCCACCGGAGCGTCCTTTGGCCAACCCAAAAAAAGAAAACCACTTAGCACGCCCACCTCCGCGGAGCGTTGCTCAGCGCCTGCAGAGGCAGACCGTCCATGCTCACCTGCGGCAGTTTCTTTTGGCCAACCGAAAAAAAGACGTTCGTCCAGCGGCTGCCCGGGTTTTTCCTTGCCGGCAGAAGTCCCGGAAGCCATGCACCTCGAAGAGTCCCAGCCAGTTTAATTGAGCCACCGGAGAAGCGGACACGGAGTTCATTCAGCACCAGCCACGCAATGTCCTAGCCAGCGTGCAACTATAAATGATATAGGAGCCTAACTTAGCTTTGCCCCCCCGCTGATGCATCGCTTTCCCGCCCACTATTTTCGAGGCAGTGCCGGTGCAGCCGATGTAGCCTACGTGTCGCGAACGGCATGTTCGCAGGCAGCCTGCTGTAGCTTTGGTATGACCTTAAGCCTGGTTCAAAAAGTACTTCCATGCAGTATCCTGGCCAACGCCGTCTGTAAGCACGCGTAGTCGGAAGTAGTCGTATACCCTGAATAGTCAACATCAAACCAGCTGCAACCAGGGCTTTGCTTTGGGTAGTGCGAGAGCGTTGCTCACGCCGCGGCTTTGCAACCATTTTGTCGGCCACCGCTTGCAGAATCCACTACCACCCCAAGCCACGGAATAATTTTCCCCAGCATAGTCCCACGAAGCCACAGGGCAGAACTGGCAGAGAGGAACCATTTTTGCTGCCACCTTTTTCAGAATCCACGACAATGACAAGCCAGTTCAGAACATTTCTTTTTCTATAGTCCCCGCAAAACACCCAAAGGTAGCGAGAAACCCATTGGTTTCACCCAAATGACAGCAGAAGGGCAAGCATTTGCGAAAAAGGGGCCGAGATGGAAAGGTACCATTTTTTTGCTGGCCACCTTTTTCAGAATCACGGACAATGACAAAGCCAGTTCAGAACATTTCTTTCTATAGTCCCGCAAAACCCCAAGGTAGCGATGAACCATTGGTTCACCAAATGACAGAGAGCAGCCATTTTGCGAACAGGCCGAGAGGAACCATTTTTGCTGCCACCTTTTTCAGAATCCACGACAATGACAAGCCAGTTCAGAACATTTCTTTCTATAGTCCCGCAAAACCCCAAGGCAGCGATGAACCATTGGATCACCAAATGACAGAGATCAGCCATTTTGCGAACAGGCCGAGAGGAACCATTTTTGCTGCCACCTTTTTCAGAATCCACGACAATGACAAGCTAGTTCATAACATTTCTTTCTATAGTCCCGCAAAACCCCAAGGCAGCGATGAACCATTGGTTCACCAAATGACAGAAATCAGCCATTTTGCTAACAGGGGCCGAGAGGAAAACCATTTTTGCTTGCACCTTTTTTCGAATCCACGGAACAATGACAAAGCCAAGTTCAAGAACCCTTCGTTCTATAGTGCCCGGCAAAAAAAAAACCCAAGGTAGCGATGAACCATTGGTTCACCAAATGACAGAGAGCAGCCATTTTGCGAACAGGCCGAGAGGAACCATTTTTGCTGCCACCTTTTTCAGAATCCACGACAATGACAAGCCAGTTCAGAACATTTCTTTCTATAGTCCCGCAAAACCCCAAGGTAGCGATGAACCATTGGTTCGCCAAATGACAGAGAGCAGCCATTTTGCGAACAGGCCGAGAGGAACCATTTTTGCTGCCACCTTTTTCAGAATCCACGACAATGACAAGCCAGGTCAGAACATTTCTTTGTATAGTTCCAGTTCGACACCTATCCCGAAAGCATTCACAGACCGGTCAGTTTCCAAATAGCCATGCGTTTTGTTGTGTGCTTCAAAGAGAATTCAGACAACCGGGTGCAACCAGGGCGCTGCCCAGGGGAGTGCGAGAGCGTTGCTCACGCCGCGGTTTGGTTTTGTCGCACTTTCAGATCTCGAACCGTGCACCTTGCCTGTGTAGACCTGCATTGAAAGCACGTAAAGGTCTTGACCCATCAGCCTCGCAACCAACCTAGCCCAAAACAAGGGCTCGGCTGTCCCGTCCTGCAGTTTGGTTTCGACACCCAGACGCCGAGCGTGAAAGACACGCGGTTCGGGGAAAAAAAAAGCAAGCATGCCGGTAGCAAGGGGGTGATTTTCGCAGCCACCACGGTAGGGCAAACTCACTTGAAATGCAGCAGTCTGTTTAGCCAGACCTTGAACTTCATTGACTATCATTTCCTAGCATGTACTTAACGCAACAATAAAATGACAACGAGCACCGGTACCGACATGTGACACGCATCCATCTTGAATCGCCCAACAGCACACGAGCTGCACCCAGGGCTTTGCCCAGGGACACGCTAGAGCGTTGCTCAGGATGCAGCCTCGCTAGCCAGGAATCACATCCAGACTCCAAGCGTCAAAGACACGCGGTTCGGGAAAAAAAAAAGGACAGGCATGTCGGTAGCGAGGGGGTGGGTTTCGCAGCCGTCACGGTAGGGCAAACGCACTTGAAATGCCGCAGTCTGTTGAGCAGGACCGGGAAAGGCATTTACTCTCATTTACGGTCATTTTACTCTCATTGACGTAACTCGACTATGAAATAACAACTGTTACTGAGGCATGCACGGTTAGCCAGAATTAGTAGTTGGAGACGGCGTTCCTGCCAGGTCACGCCGCGGCCAGTGGAGGACAACGTTGTCGGACCCAACCTCAACCAGGTGAAGCGGCCGCCGGTTCCGTCGCCTGTCGCCAGTCCCTGCCGCCGCCGCGTTGACGCCAGGTGCAGGCGCAAGACGACCTCGTGGGACGCTGGATGCAGGCCACGGGTCCGGCTCGGGCAAAACCACTTTCTGGGTCAGAGAAACAACAACCCGAAGAAAGAGCTTCTGGATAAGGTCACCTCTGGTTTCGTCGTTTTTTTTTGTCTCGGCGAGCCCAACGGCTCGGACCGTCACTGTTTCCTGGCACCGCACCGGACACCCGCCGGCAGGATTTCCTGGCGTGCAAACCCTGCAGAAGCTATGGTCTAGGCCAGCGGCTGGGTAGAAACAGGCAGGGGGCAATACCGGACAGAATGGGCACCAAGACAAAGATATCTTGTCTGCATCGGCTCAGGCGACCAAAAGGCTGGGCAGGTGGATAGCAGGTGCACATGGGACATATGTAGAACCCCAGACAGCGGCGTGGGCTGCCAAGGCGCCGAAGACGGCCGATGCCAGACACAAGTGCAACCAACTATTTTCGTTGGACGGCGAGAAAGGCGACAGGCCAGGCAAGGAATAGCTAAGGGCAAGAGCCCGGAGCCTGCAACCAATGGTTGCAGCGACACAGGAGTTGTCGTTCGTGTTGTTGTGGTTGTTGTTGTTCTTGTTGTTGTTGTTGTTGTTGTTGTTGTTGTTGTTGCTGTTGTTGTTGTGGTGGTGGTTCGGGTTGAGGTTGTCGTCGTTGTCGTCGTTGTTGTCGTTGTCGTTGTTGTCGTTGTCGTTGTCGTTGCGCCGGCTTGAGGTTATGTAGACCCAGCGTGACGCTGTATTGGCCCGTCGTGGGACTCTGTTGGTCCATCGAAGAAGCTATGTTGCCCCAGCTGCGTTCGGGTTTGGGGTGGGTGGGTTGGGGTTGGTCGGTCGTGGTCTGTGCTGGAGGGTTTGGGGTTGGTGGGTTGAGAAGGTCAGTGGTGGGATGTGCTTTTGGGTTTGGTGTTGGTGGGTTGGGGTTGGTTGGTCGGGGTTTGTGCGTGGGACTCGGTTGGTCCAGCAAAGAAGCTACCTTCGAAGAAGCTATGTTGCCCCAGCTGCTTTTGGGTTTGGGGTTGGTGGGTTGGGGTTGGTCGGTCGGGGTCTGTGCTGGAAGGTTTGGGGTTGGTGGGTTGAGAGGGTCAGTGGTGGGATGTGCTTTTGGGTTTGGGGTTGGTGGGTTGGGGTTGGTTGGTCGGGGTTTGTGCGTCGGACTCGGTTGGTCCAGCAAAGAAGCTACCTTCGAAGAAGCTATGTTGCCCCAGCTGCTTTTGGGTTTGGGGTTGGTGGGTTGGGGTTGGTCGGTCGGGGTCTGTGCTGGAAGGTTTGGGGTTGGTGGGTTGCGAGGGTCAGTGGTGGGATGTGCTTTTGGGTTTGGGGTTGGTGGCTTGGGGTTGGTTGGGCGTGGTTTGTGCTGGAAGGTTTGGGGTTGGTCGGTCGTGGTGAGTGCTGGCAGGTATGGAAGTGGTTGGTTGGGGTAGGGCCCATCGCAATCGTTTTCGAGTCCAGTGCAAGCGGGGTTGGAGTTGGCCGGTCGGGGTGTGTGCCGTCGGGTTTGGGGTTTGTGCTTTCGAGTTGGTAGGTCGGTGTTGGGTGGTGATGGTTTGTGGCATGAGATGGTTGCACGTCCCATCGCAGTCGTTTTCGAGTCCTTTCTGCAAGCGGGGTTGGGGTTGGCCGGTCGGGGTTTGGGCTGTCGGGATTGGGGTTGGTGCGTTCGAGTTGGTAGGTCAGAGTTTGTGCTGTCGGGATTGAGGTTGGTGCTTTCGAGTGGGTAGGTCGGTGTTCGGAGTTGCTGGTTCGTGAAGTGAGATGGTTGCGGCTCGAGGCTGGGCTTTGAAGGTTGGGGTTGGTGGGTCGGTGTTGCTGGTCGGTTGTTTGTGGTCTGGAGGCATATCTTGGAGCTATGGTTGAGATGGTCAGTGGTGGGTCGTGCTTTTGGGTTTGGGGTTGGTGGGTTGGGGTTGGTTGGTCGTGGGTTGTGCTGGAAGGTTTGGGGTTGGTGGGTTGGAGTTGGTCAGTGGTCGTTTGTGCTGGTTCGAGTTGGTAGGTCGGGGTTTGTGCTGTCGGGATTGAGGTTGGTGCTTTCGAGTTGTCCTTTCGAGTGGGTAGGTCGGTGTTCGGGGTTGCTGGTTCGTGAAGTGAGATGGTTGCGGCTCTGGGTTGGGCTTTGAAGTTTGGGGTTGGTGGGTCGGTGTTGCTGGTCGGTTGTTTGTGGTCTGGGGGCATATCTTGGAGCTATGTTGACACATCTTGGGGGCTAGGTTACCCCAGCTTGAGGTTATGTCGGCCCATGTTGGGGCTATGTTGGCCCATCTTGGGGCTATATTGGCCCATCTTGCAGCTATGATGGCCCATCTTAAGGCTATCTTGGCCCATCTTGGGCGCTATGTTGGCCCATCTTGCGGCCTATGTTGGCCCATGTTGACCCATCTTGAGCCACAAGATCCGAAAAATGGGAAAAAGTCGGAAGAGCACAAAACACCGTAAAACGCGACTGTTTTTGGCGGGGGGGAG